GTGGAAAACTGCCCTTTGCTCAAATGAAAAGAAATTAGAGAGAAAATATAACTTTATATCAGTGGTGATCAAATGGATGGCCAACTGAATTATGAAAAAATATGTATCTGTTCTCTTTCAGATTGTCATAAGCTGAGTTTTAGATTATGGTAGTTGAGTTGAGGTGGCACCAATACCCAAGGTCAATCAGGTAGTGGTTTCCTGGTCTTGTTGAGAATTCTTCTTTTCTAAACTACTAATTCAGAAGTAGGCCAAAGGATCAGAAACTCATTTAATTTTAATTCTCAACTAAGAATGATTTAGCTGCCCAATAGGACCTTGTAGTGTAAAGAAGAATAAATGGGAAGGTGGGAGCGCTCACACATTGGCTAAGGAAGCGATTTGATGTGAATACTTAATAGTAATTTTTTGTTTTCTCGTTTTTTCCCCAGGCCCTACTTCAGATGATTTTCACATTCTCCACCCCACCCTTTCACAGGCATTAGCTGTGCTTTCTCAGAGCCCCGTCACCCTGGAGTGTGTGGTGAGTGGGGTGCCCGCTTCTCAAGTGCACTGGCTGAAGGACGGTCAGGACGCCGTGGCGGGAAGCAGTTGGAAGAGGTTGTATTCTCATCTTGCCACAGACAGCATCGGCCCAGTGGATGCTGGCAACTACTCCTGTATGGTGGGCAGCAAGTCTGGAGACATAAAACACGTGACTTACGTGGTCAATGTACTTGGTAAGATGGTACTTACTACATTTTTTTGCGGTCAGGCCATTTTTCTGGTGTGATGTTTGAATGGAAGATCTATTTGTGAAGTATGAATGAAATAAGGACTGTCTAGGATTATCTACACCAGTAGACAGAACAAGCTTCATTTTCCTAAAGGACTGCTGAATTAAGCAGTATTTTTAGGTGTCGTGGAGCATTTCACGTGGGACGTTCTTGGGACCTTCACCCCAACCTGGTTATATAGCACAGAGCTTGCTTGCTCTTCCTTTTTAATGACACGGAGGGAAGACTGGAATTAGTAAGATGGAAGGTTCCAAGCTGTGTCAGGTGTAGTATCCTCTGCCTTAGTAGTAACTAAGGCAGAGTACCAACTAGAAAAATGTCATCTCAAAAAGAAATCTATTTCTTTGTTTATTTCCTTTTGGAATGCTTTCACTATACCTGCCGCACAAAATCTGCGTTATTTTCACCCACGTTTCTCTATATACTCTCTAGCTCCAAGCTGTTTCTTTCTTTTCTTCCAGCTACCTATCCCACTATCGTGTGTAGTGGCCAGAAAATGTTTTCCTTTCTCAAAATAGGTTTTCATGAAAACCAGAAAAAAATAGTAAGCAGTTTCATCGTTAATACCGTTTTTGTAATCCTGTCCATGTTTAATTTCAACAAGGGCCTGATGTAGGTTACACTGGAATTAATGTAAGTGTATGACAAGTNTGGAGGGTGCATCCCAGTGGCCCATGTGATCGAACCTTGGTGTTATGAGCACTGTACTCTAACCAACTGAGCTAACCGGCTGTGCACCAGTGTTGTTTTTAAAGTACAAATGAGATTCCATCACTCACCTTCTCTTAAGTCCTAAGGACTTGCTATAGCATTGAGAATAAATTCCAAAATCTTTTTTTTTTTAAATTTTTTTTGGAGTTGACATACAATATTATATCAGTTTAGGTGTATAACATAGTGATTAGACATTTACCTTATGAAGTGATCACCCCATTAAGTCTAGTACTGATCTGATACCATGCATAACTATTACAATATTGTTGATTACATTCCCTATATTCCCCATGTACTTTACATCCCCATGACTGCTTTTATAACTAGCAATCAGTACTTCCCTTTCACCTTTTCACCCAATTCCAAAATCTTCAGCATGGCTTCGAAGCTGGAGAGGATCTGGCCCAGCTTTCCTCTGTGCTCTTTTTGGCGCATCCTTCTCTCACCACAGTGGTCTTTGGATGTTCTGCACAGATGCCAAGCTCTATCCCAACACAGGCCTGCGTTTGGTATTCTCTGTTTGACCAATCCATGAGCCTGCATCCCCCCATCTGAAAAAAGGGAAGAAAACCAGTAGTTCCTATTTCATGGGAATGTTGTGAAGATGAAGTTAATATATTAAAAGCACTGAAATGGTGTCTGGCACATATTAAGCACTACATAAATTAGCTATTATTTTGTTGTTTTATTACTGTTTCTGTTTTAAGGAACGTAGAGAAGGAATGCATTTTGTGTTGTGTTGTAGATGCTTGTGAGATGTACAACCAAATGCACCACAGTATTAAATTATTCATTTGGAATGATAGATTGGGTAATAAGAGGCATTCTAATACCTTGGAAAAAG